GTTTCAGCAGCGGCTGAATCTGGACGCCAGTTCCGACTTACATACAGATTCAACTTAAGAACAAACCTACAGTCCCTATCTTGTACGTAACCCGGGGACTGCCTGTATAGAGAACAATTAGAAACTGATTTGGACCTATTATAAATATTTCTAACACAGAACCAGGAAAAATGACAAATGACTTCACAGAAGAAATGCATTGGACATGCCAAAACAAAAGGTAAATCAAGATTCCTTCCTATTCTGTATCTACAATCATTCCCAGAAATACCATTATATGAAAACATATTTTCTGTTCAAAGCAGTTGGAGACAAGTTTCCTGTTACTTGTGTGTATCCTTCTTGTGACCCCGACTGAATGCCTGTTCACTATAAAAATGGTAAGTTCAGGAACTCAGCTGTCCAGAGGGACCAAGCTGCTCTGTAGTTGATTTTTGAAGCACTGTGCACCTGAGTGGAAGGAAAGTCCACAAGATAAAAATCATTTGGATATGGCTTTTAATTAAAATATTTTTATTCTTTAAATGTGTACTTGAAACATGTTGTTGTTCATGAAGCTTAATTAGTGACTTGGTCAAGGTTTCACATTCCTTCAGTTAGAATTTTAATTTATGAAAGAAAAATGATCTTAAAAAGCCTTTTTATAATTAATAGTTGTCCCAAAACAACAGAATGTGATTAACGGAAGTGTATGTAGATGTCAAAGGAAGGAAAAATCTCCCTTAAGACATAGCTCTTTAAGAACTTGCATTGTGGATTGAGGAAATTGTGTTGTTTGGAAAGATAATGAACTAAGGAGAGAGAACTTACACAAAATGAATTTATAGAAACTCCTGAAGGGTTTTTTTAACAACCGTTTAATAAAACACAGTATTCTTTCTTGAGAATCAAAGATATGTAGGAATGGAAGGGGACCTAATGATTTTTGTCCATTCTGTTCTGAGGCAAGATTAACTATTTCTAGATTGTCCATAATATGTGTTTGTCTAACCTGTTTTTAAAAATCTTCAGTAATGGGTGTCCCAGTTCAGGGTAATTGCATCTGTATTCCCGTTCATGATTCAGCAAGGGCATCCTCTTACAGGCTTCCGGCTCACCACCTGTAATCTCTCTTGGGTGGAGACAAAGGTGTTGTTCCTCCCTCCCTCCCTCCCAGGTTATTTCTAGGCTGCACCATCCCCTGCCTACACTGTGAATTCCTTAGCAGGTCAAAAACACTTAAAGAGTGGCCCTGTAGCACCTTAGAGACTAAAACAAAACAAACCCCAAACAGTATCATGTGCTTTTGTGAGCACAGCCCACTTCTTCAGATGAGTAGAGCAAGAGGCACTGCCTAATTGCCCATGATTTTAAGTTACCACAAAGCTCTTTCTAATGGAGTGGCCCAGTGCCTGGTCTTTGACTTGAAAGTCTGGTTGAAAAGGGGACCTTACAGTGTCTGGTCAGAGCTACTGACTGGACACCCAAAGTCCAGTCAGAGTGGGCAGGGAAGGTGCCATCACCCTGGCCAGCCCCTACTGAGCCCAGGCTGCCTCCTATCTGCATCGGGCTGCTGCAGCTCTCAGTCCTGGCTTTGCAAGTGAATTCCTTCTGGCCTGGGCCGGGAAAAGCAGCAAGTGGTGATAGGGCAGGACATCAGGGAAAAGGCAGGGAAACAGCAGTGCTTCAGTGGAAGGGTCAGGACAGGGCAGGGCTGCAGGGGGAAGAGAAGTGGGGCAGGAGAGATTCTAGCTCTTCAGTTGGAATGTCTAGTTTTTAGTTGAAGCAGAATGCAGGACAATGTAGCACTTTAAAGACTAACAAGGTGGTTTATTAGATGATGAGCTTTCGTGGGCCAGACCCACTTCCTCAGATCAAATAGTGGAAGAAAATCTGAGGAAGTGGGTCTGGCCCACGAAAGCTCATCATCTAATAAACCACCTTGTTAGTCTTTAAAGTGCTACATTGTCCTGCATTCTGCTTCAGCTACTTCAGACTAACACGGCTACATTTCTATCACTATTCTAGTTTTTAGTTATTACTAAGAAGAGGGCTTTAAATTAGGTTTGAAAGGGGCAGGTGACCAAACCCCATAGGTAAGTCCAAAAACATGGAGACCTGGGAAAAGGGTCAGAAATTGGGATGTATACTGGGGCAACTTATAGAGGGGATGCCCTGTAAATAATTGATTAATAAGATTTAATTGTAAATAGCAGAGCATTACAGTCCATGATTCTAAGCCCTGGAAGTCCTAGAACTGGAAGGGACTTTCTAGAGGTCATCGAGTCCAGTTCCCTGCCCTCATAACAGGACCAAGCACTGCCTAGATTAGTGGTTCCCAAACTTTTTGGTCCCTTGCCCCTGGCCAAAAAAAAGCAGCAAAACTTGTTGAGAAAAAAAAAAAGATTGCTCTTTTAAGAGCAGAGCAGGCATTGCCCTTTTAAGGTGGTCATTTTGAAGTTTTCCCGGGACACTCCAGCCTCCCTCCCACCCCAGCCAGCTCACGGACTGGGCTCTTTCTTGGGGAGCAGAGGGTGGGTCGCCTCGTGCCCCCTCTGGAATTTTTTCACGTCCCTCCAGGGGGGTGCGCCCCCCCAGTTTGGGAACTTATGGTCTAGTTCATCCCTGACAGTTGTCTGTCTAACCTGCTCTTAAATATCTCCAGTGATGGAGACTCCACAATCTCCCCAGGCGACTTATTCCAGAGTTTAACCATCGTGACGGTTAGGAAGTTTTTCCTAATGCCTAACCTAAACCTCCTTTGCTGCAGTTTAAGCCCATTGCTTCTTTGTTATTCTTAGAGGCCAAGGAGAACAATTTTTCTCCCTCCTCCTTGTTAATACCCTTTTAGATACTTGAAAACCTCTATCATGTCCCCTCCCAGGGTGCGTCTACACTGCACCGTTATTTTGAGATAACTAGCGTTATTTTGAAATAACAGTGCGAGTGTCTACACAGCCATTCTGTAATTTTGAAATAATTTCAAAATAACAGATGGCTTATTCTGAAATCTGTAAACCTCATTCTACAAGGAATAATGCCTGTTCCAAAATAGCTATCTTGAAATAAGGTGTGAGTAGATGCTCCACTGCTGCCATTTCAAAATATCCCCATCACTAATGCCATTCTAAGTTTTTCTTCCCCAGTGCCTCCTGGGGCTCTAAATCGAGATAGGCTTCCTTAATGTAAATGTGCTGCCTCGGACTAATTTTGAGGCTTCCCTGTAGTGTAGATGTGCTATTTTGAAATAAGCTATTTTGGAATAACTATTCCGGAGTAGCTTACTTTGAAATAAGCGTGCAGTGTAGGCATACCCTCGAATCTTCTTTTTTTTAAACTAAACAAGCCCAATTCTTTCAGTCTTCCCTCATAAGTCATGTTTTCTGGAACTTTAATCATTTTTGTTGCTCTTTTCTGGATCTTCTCCAATTTCTCCACATCTTTCTTGAAATGTGGTGCCCAGAACTGAACACAATACTCCAATTGAGGCCTAATCAGTGCAGAGTCCAGAAGAATAACTTCTCATGTCTTGCTCACTACACTCATGTTAATGCAGCCCAGAATCATGTTTCCTTTTTTTTGCAACAGTGTCACGCTATTGACTCATGTTTAACTTGTTGTCCGCTATGACCCCTAAATCTCTTCCAGCAGTAGTCCTTGTCACTTCCCATTCTGTATGTGTGAAACGGATTGTTCTTTCGTAAGTGGAGTACTTTGCATTTGTCCTTATTAAACTTCATCCTGTTTACCTCAGACCATTTCTCCAGTTTGTCCAGATCATTTTGAATTTTGACCCTGTCCTCCAAAGCCCTTGCAATCCCTCCCACCTTAGTATCATCTACTGATTATCCATGGCGGTATAGGAACCTACAGAAAGGCAGCAAAAACAAAAAAGTGTTTTTCTTTAGCTTGAATTTCTTATTTTAATTCAGCATTGTAACATTAATTCATACCTGTGGGAAATGGAGTTCAAGTAAAAACTTGCAGCTTAATTTAGTTATCAATGTGGTAATCATGAGCTAATATAAAGAAGCAAGTTTATTCAGTAACTATAGAGAATGTGATTGCATAATGCTTTAAATTGATACATAAATAGCTATTACTACATTTGTAATAATTCATTGTTAAGATTGTGGTTAATTGCAACAAATCAGGTAATGCAAAACTTAAAGTTTTGGTAGGATCTTTAAGTCTATTGCATATGTTGGGTCTTTCTGTGCTACCCATGTAATAACATAAAATGTAACCATACTGAGCAACTTGGTGAAGAAGAACTATACTAGAAAGTGCTATGAGAAAGCAGCATAGTTCAGTTCATGTCCTTGCAAGAATTGTAATTTTGGTATTTAATGATTTTTTTCAATGACACATTTTAGCTTAACAGTTTCTGGAATTTAATTTCCCAAAACTGGATTTTAAGAATTCCACTTGGCAAAGCATGCCCAGCTCACAAGAGGCTATTGACATGCTAGATTTGAATGTTCAGAGTTCACTTTTTATTTGTCCAGGAAAAAAGGCATCAAGAAGATTTTTAGTATGAGACTCTATTCTCTCTTTATGCTAGTAAATCTCAAAAACAATTTACTTAGATTTACAAAAAAAATCACTGTTAGGTATGGCACTCATGAAAAATATCTTAATTACAAAGCTATGAGTGTAATCTAAAGAAGTCTCCCTTGGCATCCACTGAATTCTAGTTAAGATATGCATGTATGTATATAGGACACTTTAAAGTATGTATTTAGATTATTTATTTCTCAAGTCTCTAAATGTGGAGTTACAAAAATCTGAGAAATTACTGAGTATTCTAGAGATAGGTAGTATTTCCTGAAGAAGGTTTAAAAATCATCTCAGGTTTGAAAGGGTTTTGTTTTAAAGCACCTTGACTTGCTCAGAGCTGTAAATAAGGCATTAATCTTCTAGATAGGATGTTGATACTAGTATTCCTCTATGCCAGTGGTTCTCAAACTTTTTGGTCTGTGTTCCAGAGAGATGTAAAATTTTAATTAATTGGCTAATCAATTAGTCAATAAGGGTGCCTCCGCCTTTGAAGTGTAGCAACAGTCCCAGGGCTGTTGCTACACTTCAAAGGCAAAAGCACTGCGTGGAGCACGGGGCCAGCTGGGGACTCAAGGAATCCCCTGCTGGCTACGTGCTCCTCACAACGTTTCAAAGCAGCAGTGCTTTAGGGAGTCTGGGGTCAGCGAGGGAGCCTGGCATCAGGTTCTACATGGCATTTCAAAGTGGCAGTACCGCACAGAGCCTGGGGTCAGCGGGGGGAGTCCCTAGCTGACCTGTGGTTCCCCATGGCATTTCAAAGCGGCAGACCTTGGATTTCATGTGGCACTGCCAATTTGAAGCACCCCCTTCATTTCCTTCCCCCTTGCTGCCTCTTTCTCTG